GAGTGATTTAAGAAAAACCCAGGTTCTTCTATTTAAATTCTTCCCTGCTACACCCCCAACCCCCACCTGATCATTGGAAAAATTGCAGAATTCCTGAAATCTTTATTTTGATAGTTCCCCCCAGGTAGCTGGAGTTCCCAGATTCAGATTTGGACCCCCTGAAGATATGCCACAAACTAGCTCAAGTCACTCAGATCTTGGTCAGCTTGCATCACAAGGAGGTAAACCATTTCTGTACTTTCTTTTCCGTAGTTGCTAGAGTGAAAAACAAATAATGCAGTCAATAAAATGCAATTCTACTTCGGGTACATGTTGAACTGTGGAAACCTGCAACTCTTACATAATTGTCAGTAGAGAGAGACTAACAAATTAAAAAGGTGTTTCCCCTCAAGCTGCTACATTTCTACTTGTAATATGTTTTAGAAAGGAGAATGTTTCTGTGGGTAGGAACAACAGGCTTGTGAACCACAGAAACTAAAATTTTGTGTAGGACATTGCCTGCTGGGTGGAAGGTAACTCACATAAGGAGAAATGAAATACTGAATTGAACGGCTTTTAACTTGCATTTTACAGTTGATTGTAGCTTTCCTGTAGTAAAACCATAAAGCAAAACAGCAAATGCAAAGAAATCTTTGGGGTATGTCCTTACCTGCTAAGAGATGGCCAGACAATTTGGCTATATAGTCTTTGTTGTTGTCCTGAATCAGTCCCTGTCCCCTGCATCCCTGTCAGCATGGAACAGTACGCTGGCCTTTGAAGAAAGCTCACAGTGAAATAATGGCGTAAGAGGAGGATGAAAGTAAAACAAGTAGTAGTGTTTTCATCAAGGTTTTGCCTTTCAATAAATAATAATTAGCTCTGACAGTAGGTTGAAACAGCTTTATATAACAAAAATCTCCAAATTTAAGCACAAATTGCTGGATTTCATCAAGCGTATAGAGGGAAGACAGCAGTTAATCTGGTTTTTTTATCTGTCTATTTTAATTGTCGCTGAAACTTTCTGTGTTACAGGTTTAGGAATGTATGAAACTCCACTATTCCTTGCTCATGAGGAAGAATCAGGTGGTCGTAGCGTTCCCACAACACCATTACAAGTAGCAGCACCAGGTAAGTGGCAAGAACTTTGCAGGCTGAAAACCTTGACTTCCTAGAGAAGTTAGATTATTGTTGGTTTAGGGCTTATTGATACATCAGGAGTATTCCAGTAACCCTTTCTCTGACCTACCTAAGATTTCCACAGATTTTCTGTAGGAAATTTAGACTAATGGATGTTTATTAAACTACCTTTCCTGTACAGTGACAGTTTTTACCGAAAGTGCCTCAGCGGATGCTTCAGAGCATGCTTCGCAGTCTGTTCCCATGGTTACCACATCGACTGGCAATCTGTCCACCGCGGCAGAGCCTGGAGCCGGCGACGACGGGGATGAAGTTTTTGCAGAGGCAGAATCTGAAGGGTAAACTATGACTTGTTTGGTTTGCTAAGACCTGATGTCATGTTAGTTTTAATGATTTGTTTTCGTCCAAGTGTGGCTGTGATTCATTTTCAGTTTAACTTGTTCTGGCAGGAAGGACGGTTCAAACAGGAGCTAGTAGTTTTGTGAACTAGTACAATCTGATCTTTTTGTTTAAACCCAAAGATTTTCTTCTAATTTAGCATACCTAATATAAAAGTCACCAAAAAGAAAAAAACTGTCTTTATTTTTTGGTGTGCAGAGGGTTCTGTAATAGTCAAGTACTGATGGTAAATGCTCCAGTTTGAAGGACTGGGGTTTGTAGAATAAATATTAAAGCATTCCTGTTTGTCACTAAAGAAAATCACTCCTTGTTACAAAGCCAGCATATATAATGCAGTCAGTCAGTTAAGGCATTGCAAGTACAAAAGATGCAGCACAAGGGAAGGGGATAAGCAGTTCTTAAGAATTTGATAGACAAATGATTTTTGTCTTCCACTTTGCAAATGCAATTTTTAATATTTATAATAATTGTTATATTTTGATTTGTATTATGGTCAAATACATTACAAATCTAAAAGGGATAGGTTATCATTTAATGCTATATTTTACTTCTGATTTTTATTGGTTGCAGAGTAATAAAAGATTTGTAGTTCACAGTTTACTTAAACTTCCATCTACTGATTTCAGGAGCTAGATTTGGTCATAAGAAAATGAAATGTAACTGCTGCAAGTTATATATGCCACACAGTTTTCTTGATGCAGCACTAACTTGGACTGCAATAGTCTGCCTATGAGTAGATAGAACATAGGATGGGTATTCTAATATTAAGGTCTGGTGTTTGTTTCTTACACAGACATCTAATCTTTAGTGAATTGGAAGTATATACATAGAGGAACTAAGTGGTTCGTAGAACAGTCTGTAGTTCGGAACAGGCTTTGATAGCAGAGCAAGTCAATCTGGTGCTAGTAAGAACAGGTATTTCCCACAGTATATGACTTTTAGTTATCATCCTCTAACAGTTTGCATACACTAATTAAAGTAAGTAAAATGTATGCTAAAAAGTAAGCTGCATTTAAACCAAATTGGATGTTTAATATTTTTCCAGCCCTATAATGCTTTTTGTCTTTTGAAGACCATGAAGTCCACATGACTTAGGTGTTGCACCAGTGAGTGATCTTTAGGCATAACTGGTCAGTGTGGTCCCTCCAATTCATTCTTCCCCTATCTAAACATACACACCACCATCATGTTGGGTTTTTTGTAGTTACCATTACTACATAGCTTTGTGTCCTTCTCTGGCAGACAATTAGTATGTTGAATATGCGTCTGGAGTTGGGCTGTATATCAAGGAAATTGCATGGTTATTTTTCTAAAAGCCAGGTAAATCTCTCATGATTGGGGCAGGGAGGGCACAACAAAACAGAATAAAAGCAGTGAGAATTTCTGGGGAAAGGCATTTGAATATGAATCTGCTCTGAGATGATGCATTTTTTTCTGACCTTTTTGAAACTATGTGAATATGCTTACATGTTTTTCCTCTCCCTCCTTTGTCTTGTAGAATTACTTCAGAAGCAGGCCTAGAAATTGATAGCCAGCAAGAAGAAGAATCTGTTCAGGCATCTGATGAGTCAGATCTTCCTTCAACTAGTCAAGATCCTCCTTCTAGTTCATCTGCAGGTATGGGTTAATTGCTGGAAGCAGTTGCTTCACAGCATTTCATTCTGTGGGAACTTTTTGAATCAGCATTGTTCACTACTGATAGTCAAGATACAAAAAATCTTAAGGTGGAACTCTTAGAGCAAGATCACGTTTTGATATCTATAGTCTTAAAGGCAAACAATTTTTACTTGGACTGCAGTAGACTGTAGTAAGAAAAATGCTTCAAGGAGCAAAAGTTAGGGATATTTTGGTGATTCTACCCACTGTTATGTTTGATGTCATATTTTAAAATATTTTTTTAATTCAATTAAATTGTCAAAGAACAGTAAGTTAAACCACTGTGGAGTTAACAATTTACTACCTAGCACAGGTGATGAAAGAAGTCCCAGACTTACTTGTTTTGAGGCTTTTATTTATTTCACAGAAGTTGTCAATGAAATAAGGATGCACCTTCATCTTAAAGTAAATTCAAGAGCATAATGCATATCAAATCATGTAAATATGAACAGTAAGAAACTACTAGACACAGACACTTTCTTGAATTACCACTCCTTCACAGACACAAGCAGTAACCAACCTAAGCCATTTCGACGTGTCAGACTTCAACCACCAACATTAAGAACTGGTGTTCGTGGTCGTCAGTTCAACAGACAGAGGGGTAAGTGTTTGTGGTTGCTCAAATTCAGGTGTTTTCAAAAAGTTTTTAGTACTTTCTTTGCTGTGGGGACCATATATGAAGTACTACTTTATATGCCTGTGTTTGCTTGAGAGACATTGAGTAATACAGCATTCCTGCTCTAGCTTTCAATATGTTGTCCTAAAAGCTCTCTAGTTTTGCTTCAGTATGTTAGCCAGAGTCTTTCCTAGATAGGCAAACTCTCCTCTTAGGCAGCATGTGGTTCTCACCGTGGGGAGAAAGTAAATGGCAGTGGATCTTAAACTTCACAAAGTTTTAAAAAAAGATTTTAAAAAATTACGTTAGGATAGAGTTTAGAAATCTTTATTTTTAACATTACAGATCAGTTTCCTGTTTGATACATTAAGGGTTCCAGTTGTTATATCGCTGTATCTTACACTGAGTTTATAAAAGCCAACAAAAAAAGTTTATGGAAGTATTACAGATTTTTATAATACAATATAGAGATAAATCACAACAATAAACTATTGTTTGCAACTTCTGTATTAAGAAAAATCCTGAGATGAATTGTATTCTGCTTGGCATTATTTTATAACACTGTAGAAGACTTGATAGTAGCATTGAAATATAGGTATCTGGTATTTAAAGGGGAAAAAAAAAAAAAAAGCGAGGGGGTGGACCTAGGTTATTTTTTCTTTCTTAGTATATCACCATATATTTAATAGCAAAAGAGAGAGACTAACTTGTTCTAGGTACGGTAAGAATGCTATGCTTGTTCTTTGGACACAGGGCCTGAGATAAAATCCCAAGTTAATACCCTTTTTAAGTGACAGAAGGGCAATGTGTTCATATCACTGGACTCTAGGGGAGGGAGGGAGGGGGAGCTTCAATTTTGTCAGAAAGGATATGCTCCACTGCAGTAGCGATTCCTTATAGAAGGATGAAGTAGCACATGTACTAATGGTTGATTAAAAGTGGAGGAAGGATTTATATTAATGCATGTGTTTTCTTTCCCAACACAGGTGTAACTCATGCAATGGGAGGCAGAGGAGGCCTGAACAGAGGAAATATTAGTTAAATGATCTGTAAAGGAATTACAGCTGTGTATACAAAAGTGCCAGTTTGCCTGTGATTGCTTTAGTGTAATGAAGCCAGAGCTTAAAGCAGCATTTTATACTTAGATTTGTGTGCACACATTTCAATGTCTTTATTAATAAAATTAGACAAAATGTCAACACTCAAATGGCATCTTTTTTTAAAATTCTGTGCTGTGCATCACTTGCTAGGACAGTTGTACCAGTCTTTGGATACAGTCTTTCCTGTGAGAGCAGTCACAGGTCTTGCTATTCTTTTGCCAATGTCCAAACTGTAGTACCGATCTGAAAAGAAGATACGTGTCACAATTAAATTCCAGAAACTACATGGAAAGGATCTTGAAGTTACAACCTACCTTTTAATTTCGTTTAGGCATGAATAACAGATTTTTCATTCCACAGTAAATATATGGAGTTGAGAGGGTATAACAGTTAATTTTTGTCTTCAACTTTATTTTTTACATGTCCTTCTTTGTGTTTAGCTAAGTTTTAGAGTACTGCTAATAAATATGCCCCAAGAACAGGGAGCAGGGAAGAATACTTATACTGCTAGAACACAGAATAGTCTTAAGAATTTGAAAATCAGACTAGAAACAAAACAGTCTTGCACTAACTACAAAAGTGGAAACACTGTGGTCCCTGGGTATGAATTGGCCTCTGTTAAGGTTAGGAATTAGTTCACACAGACACTTACTTTAGCATCCTGTATTTAGATACATCTAGTTTGTAAAAAAATTGAGGAATGCTTTTACATTATTCTGGCTGGAGAGCAAGGATCTACCTAATCTGGAATCATAAATAAGTTTTTTCCTGTGAAGCAAAAGGGCTCGTGTGCCACCCTTTTTAATTTTGTCAGAAACATAGTTCCATGGAAACCAGTGAAAAAACTACCAATGTGTAGTGGTCCAAGGATTTCAGTTTATCACAGATGCAGAATTATATTCAAGTGTCAGGTTTTTTGTCACTTGATAAGCATGAACTCTTATGGCCATTCATTCCACAACTGGCTAATTTGAATCTTTGTATCTCGCTGCTGCTAGTTGTCCTGTAACTATTGATTTTTTTCAATAGAATCATCTCAATTACAGGCAACATTTAAATTCTCAGGACTTTTCAATGGCGCTTAAAATTAGTCTTGCAGAACCACAGGTGCTAACCTCATGCTTCGGAAAGTTGAGAGATACGCAGGCTTCTTTCTTCCTCATCCCCTAGTCTTTTGAGATTGATAGTAATGTGCATTAGCTTTAACTTACTGTAGGAGAAGGCGTAATAGTCGTAGCCGTCTGGCTTATTGGAGTTGGGTAGTGAGATAGTTGAATGAATCACTTTTGGGAGCCCTCTCCAGTAGGTAGTCATTCTGACTGCCTTGCGCAGAACTCCTGCAAGTGAAAGATAACCAGTTAGGAGGTGTTGCAGTGTGTCTGCTGTCAACTATTATTTGCTTGTATAATCTACAGCAAGCGTGCTCTATTGAATTAAAAAATTTTAAAAGAAAAAAAAAAGGAACAGAGTATTGTGTTACAGAAACTACTATGCTTGAAACATTTGTATAAAAGAAACTTAATAAAGATAAGTTACCAGATGGATATGAGTTGATTCTGACAGTCTGAATAACGGTTGGCATTCTTGCTGCACGTTGAAAGCGTCGTCTTATTACAAATCTTGGGACATAAACTGGGTATCTTATGGTAACCTGGGTTCTTTGACACTTCTTGGCAGGTTCCTGTCTGTACACATACTGTTGCATGTTGCCATCTAAAGCAGACATTTGGTTAAACAAAACAAAGTCCCCACCAAAACAGCAGCTCGATCAGATATGAAAATGTCCTTGATATCTGCATTACATGTGGAAAATCATTGGCATCATTTTAATACATCTACAGTTGTGGCAGCCTTCAGCATTTCATATCTGTTCCTACATTTTGAGATTAAAAAAAGCCTTGCTCTCTAAATCCAACATGTGCTTTTAGATGTAGTAATACCTTGTGCAAGCTCAGTACTATTACAGTAGTAAGTACAACTCTGGGGGAGCTCCTTTTGCTGCTACTGTTCCTGTTTATCAAGAAGAAGGTAAGACCATCATTTGAGACTGCATAAGAGGAGGACTATGAGTCCAGAAAAATATTTGCACTTTATCAATCTCTGCTTTGTAAATTCAGATAACTCATGTTGGCAGTACATCATTCATGTAAGATAAGGAAATTACATTAATTTAAAATATGAAATAAGAAATCAGGAGGGAGATTCCCATATATATTTATGTACTAGTAAGATTAAAGCCTTCCCTTCTAACTTGAGACTAAAGTAGTTTTGCCACCAGATAAAATTTAATGTTTGTCTGCTTCAGTGCTAGATTCTGTCCCTTTCAGTCCTGTCTATTTTGTAACACACTTAAAGATCTGTAAGTACTAATATAAATTTTTAAAGCTTCAGGCTATTTTTTGATTACCTAGCACATTCTGTCACCATTTCTGTTTCTGGTTTTGAAAGAAATGCATCTTTCAGTCAAGAGGAGTGTTTTATTCCCGACTAAGGTAATTGAAGGACCTTTTGCTCATCTGCAAACTTCTGAAATATGAGACATACCTTTTTTGATAAAATAGACAGATTCTGGTCTGTTGTTGTATCTTGCCACAGGGAGAGTTGCTACTATTTTCCCACTTAGCCCTGCAAATCCGTTTGCGAGAGGTTTGGGATAGCCTTTATCCATAACACCATTAGTGAAACGCCAGTATAGGGGACCCTAATGATTTAAGGAAAGAATGAGCTTTAGGGGAAATTCATTCTTGGTAATTGAGCTTCAACACAGACATGGAAAATAATCATAACACTAGTGTTTTGATAACTATATTGTAAAACTGGAACCACTCCTACATACATTAAGAACAGAAAAAAAAAAATAAATTACAACTTCATAAAAATAAATTCTGCAGTCTAACACCACCTTTGACAGGGATAGAGTATCTTAGAAAGGAACTGTTAAAAGAGTGGTTATGGAACAAAGTGGTTTGGTTTGTAAATTTTCACAGATAGGAAAAGCTGCTTGAATTCCAGTACTGAATGTTTAATTGGGAAACAACTATATAATGCCTTTATTGAGGTGTGTGTATTTCATTATAATCTTCTTTCAGGAAGGAAAATGTATTAGGAACAAATTTAGGCCATGTTCGGGCATTTTAAAGATTTGGGGTTTTTTTGAAGTGTGGCTCATATGTAAACATTACTTGATTATCAATTATTCTGCCAACGCTTTGTCTCCTAGAGGAGAAAAACACTGAATTGAGGTTTTTCCTAACAAGCACCATCTCAAGTCAGATGGGGGGCTGGAGAAGAGACACTTCACCCACGGAGTTTCAAACCCACCATGCTGTTTGAAAACGTCATTTGTTCTATTGAGCAACACAGCCCCAGAGCAATGCAAGGCTCTCCTCTTCTGCGGGGTTGCATTTCATAACCCACACTTTTTTTAAGCTGATCTGCTCCCCACGCCCTCCCGGTGCAGCCCGCGTCCACCACAATGGCTCCCCACCTTGACGAAGAAGGTCTTGCCATCACAGTTGCACCTGGAGAAGACTGAGTCGATGGGGGACGGGATGCCCCAGCCGTCGCTGATCCGCCTGGGGTTGGTTGTCGGCGGGCTTCTGCCATTCAGCAGCCAATAGTAGTGGCCTGCGCAGCAGGAGGAGAGATGGTGAAATGCAGACAGACAGACCCAGGGAGAACGACACAGGAAACGAGGATCCCCCTTCCCTCTTTCCTGCCCTCAGGATGCGACTGAGGGGTAAGGCGGCTCCTGCACCAGCAGCACCCTGATGTGTGGCCGGGCTCGGGCATCGCTTCATGAGGGCCTCAGAGCACTGAAGTGTATTGGGGGGTTGGGGCTGGGGCGGGTGAGGGTGGCAGGGGAAGGAAGGAGGAGGAAGAGTAGGAGGGCGAGGACCAGCCTACCTCTGAAGACGGCCAGGGTGCCGTTAGGCAGGGCCACCATGCCATCTGCTGGCTTCCCGCTGCACAGGTCCTTCTCATCCTTCGCTGCAAAACACGGTGGCTTGGGTTTGTTTAACATTTAAGACACACTGTGTTACCTGCCCAGCTCACCACCAGTAGCACTATGGCTGTTAAATGTGATCGTCTGTCAGGTGATGTTTGGGGCCCTTCATCGTTCAGGCCTCTGCCTGGCACTTGTCCCACAAAGGGTATAGTTACTCATTTGAGATCAGTTCTTGGAAAGTTTGCCTCTCATGTTTTGGTCCCAGGAGGGCCAGACCAGCTGTTTACATGACTAGGTATGGGTAGCTTTGCTTATTGTTTACCTAAGTACCTGTAATTCAGAAAAAGACTTATAAATGCATGTATGCTACATCCCTCATTTAATTTCTTCATGCTCTGGGATGTTTCTCCAAGCTGCTCTAAAGGGTTCCCTTACCCCTCCTTATTTCTTAAGAAAAACCCATTTACTTACAGTTAAGTATAAAGGAAGGATCTGTTTTGGACAAACCTAACTATTTCCCATCTAAAACACCTCTTTTTTTCTTTCCTGCCAATAGATGATTGGAAAAAACTCTGAAAAACCTGCAGGCCATATCTGGTTAAAATAAATACTGAGGACATGAAAATATGAAAACTGTTGTGACAAAAAGCACAGAGAGAAGAGAATACAAGGAAAAGACATATTGTCTGTCTTATGTGACGTATTTTATGTGACTATGAAAGACCACGTAAGGTATGAGTTACCATGAGTAATGGTGAATATTCAGCCTGACTCCCTAGCAATGTTTCCATAGGCCTTAGAAATTTATCCTCTTTTTCCTTGACTTTTTTTTGTTTGCATCTTCTACAGTACTTCTACTGTAGACGTTTACCTGCAGGACCATTTGCTGAAACCAAGTACTAAAACAAAATCGCGCTCTAAACTACATGGAGAATTTCACTTAACAGCACAATTGAAAACTGCAGTACCAGTATTCAGGATGGTGAGTACTGTAGCACCATGGTTATGGCTGACCACTGGGCCAGGAGTGCCATGTTCTTGTGGCACCACATAGAAAGACCTTGCATGTCCTTTACTCATGGATTTTGTTGTGCTCTCTGGTGGAGTTACTGGTGCTTTTGTACCTACTGGAATGCAATTACCTTGTGTTTCTCCAGATAAAATGGGCAAGTCTGCAGTTTGTATTAAAGGCTTGTTGTTGATCTCAGGCTCTTCTTCTATTGGAAGAGTTTCAGAGTCAGCTGGATGAGGCTTATCTCTTGTGTCAGTAACCTCCTGGAAATGTATAGTTGGTTTGGACGTCCCTTTGGAAACAATAAACATTTCTTCTATCGTGTCTTTTTTATCTCTTGTAGTGGTCTCTTTAGTAACTGTAGTTTCCTCTTTGTTAATACTAGGGGTCTTTCCAGTGGCATCTTCCATTTCTTTTTCAGGTGTGATGTTAGTTTCTTTGATGGTCATTACCTCTTTTTTACCAGCTGTTGTTGGCTCTACAACAACACAAGTAGTACTTATGCTCTCTTTAGCTGCAGCTGTTACAGTCTGCTTAGTTTCCAGAGTTGTGTCTCTTTTATTTGTTGTTACAATCTCCCTGGGTTTAGGAGTTGAATCTCTTTTGGCAGTTGTCAACAGAGTGGGCTTTGGCAAGGGAGTTGTAGCTGCTGCAGCTGCTGTTGTTACAGTCGCTGTTCTCACAGGGCTTTCTTCTTTTTTAGCTGTTAAAGTCCCGTTTTTTATGGGAGTCTTGCCCTGTTTAGCTGGGGTTACTTCTCTTTGCACAGCCATTGTTGCAGTCTTTTCGTCTGCAGTAGTTGCTTCTGACTGAGCTGCTGTAGTGACAGCTTGCTTGCTTGTAGGAGTTGTACTTGAAATATCATCCTTACCTTTAGGAGAGTCATCTGGTTTAGCTGTTATCACCCGAGTTACCATAGTTGTGTCTTTCCTACTTGTTGTTAAAATATCTTTAAGCACAGTAGTTTTCTCTTTCTTGGATGTTGTTACCTCTTTGTTCACCATGGTTGTTTCTATTTTACTTGACTCTTTGGTTATAGGAGTAGCAACAGTTTTAGCCGGGTTTTTGTCTTTTTTTTCAGTAGTACTAGCTGCAGTCACCACTATCCTTTGTACAGCTGTAGTCGTATCTTTTGTAGTTGTACTGGTTGCTACTTCGGCTGCAGAAATTGTGATTTTCTTTTCTGCTGCTGTTTCTGAAACCATAGTGTCAGCTTCAGATATGGGTGTTTTGTTCCTAGTGGTTGTGACTGGCTCAATGTTTTGAGTGGTTGTACCTTTCTTAGAAGTAGATACTAATCCAGGGACAGTAGTTGTTTCTTTAATAGATGTCGTTTTCTCTACAGCAGGGGTGTCAGCCTGAGTGCCTGCAGGGCTAGTCCACTTGACTGTAGGGGTTGTGGGAGAGTCTGCCTTGGTTGTTGTTGCCTGTGGGGTTGTGTCTTGTGGTTTGGGGGTGGTAGGAGAGTCAGCCTCGGTCGTTGGTGCCTCCGTGGCCTCTGGGGTTGATTCTTGAGGTTTGGGTGTGGTGAGAGAGTCAGCCTCGGTTGTTGGTGCCTCTGGGGTTGTGTCTTGAGGTTTGGGGGTGGTGGGAGTGTCAGCCTCAGTCGTTGTTGGTGCCTCCGTGGCCTCTGGGGTTGTGTCTTGAGGTTTGGGGGTGGTGGGAGAGTCAGCCTCAGTTGTTGTTGGTGCCTCCGTGGCCTCTGGGGTTGTGTCTTGAGGTTTGGGGGTGGTGGGAGAGTCAGCCTCAGTCATTGGTGCATCTGTGCCCTCTGGGGTTGTGTCTTGAAGTTTGGGGGTAGTGGGAGAGTCAGCCTCGGTTGTTGGTGCCTCCGTGCTCTCTGGGGTTGTGTCTTGAGGTTTCGGGGTGGTGGGAGAGTCAGCCTCGGTTGTTGGTGCCTCCGTGGCCTCTGGGGTTGTGTCTTGAGGTTTGGGGGTGGTGGGAGATTCAACCTCTGTTGTTGGTGCTGCTGTTGTCCCAGGTGTTTCTTTCTGAGTCGTAGTGGCTTCTTTGGTGGTTGTTGTTATTGTGATAGTACTCGTTGTAATAGGTAAAGTTGGTTTTAGATCAGTTGTCGTTGCTTTGGTTGTGCTTGTATCAGGTTTTTTTGTGTTTGGAGCAGGACTGGTCCCTTTTTTTTCCTGTTCGCTGCCATTATCTATGAGAACAAATATTCATTAAGACACTGGAATTGCAGTGCATGCACCTATTGCATATCAATTCATTATAAAGCTGAGAAATTTCTGTTTATCTTTTGAGTAGCAACAGTTGTTTTTATGGTCTTTGCTCTAAACACTTTCTGTGCAAAATTGCACTTAAATATTTCAACCACTGTAAAGAAAATTATTTATTTAGACTGGCCAAAAAAAAAGGAGTGTATCTGGAAACCTAATTTAAATATGTAAATGCCAGTTTATGGACTTAGGTAACTGTCATATATAAATAATATAGAAGAGCAAAGGTAACCTGGACTGGGTTAAATATTAGTTCTTTTTGTCTGCATGGAACTTTGCAGCAGCTTAACTAAGTTTTAAGTAATCCTTTTGTCTAACCTGTCACAACTCTGAGTACAACATGTTAGATTTTAGTTTGGTGTTTGCAGGTGAGGCCATCTGGTGTTTCCATCCGTTCTCATGGAAGGGGATCCACACTATAAAATACAGTCCTTCTAATATGACACTTCCCTTCTCTGTCTGTTCTTTTGATTTATTACTCTGGCCTTAATTATAACATAGCCTGCACCAATGACCTGAACCTGAAGGAGATGGGTAGGGAAAGGTGAGGAAAACAAACTTCCTGAATACAGACACCTGAGTGCATCTCCTACTGTATCTTTATGTCTTGGATGTTTTTCTTCTTCTGATTTATGGCTTTAAGACTCTATTTACTTGTATATAGTTACACTGACTTGAGTCAAATTGTTATTATAGCTATATTCAGTAAAAAGTAACAGAAAATGCTTCTGCATTTTAATGTCTCAGTAAGTGTTATCTCTCTGAAGTTTTGCTATTTAGTTCTGTTTTCACACAGGTTTTGTGGTGTTTGTTTTTTTTTTTTCTATCATTCTTGCTGTGTTGCTCTGTACCATTCCAACTGAACTGGCATCTGTTTCTTGAAATCCTGAAAAAAACAAGTGCAGCATCATGTGGTTTGGGGCCGTATTGTTCAGATTTTGAACAAATTTAAAAATATAAAGACCTGAGCTATTGCTGATGGTCACAGTGATGGTCATGGCCTGATGACTGTTAGCAGCATTGAGGCAGTGTCTCTCCCAGCAGACTGGAAGAACCTAAAATACTGCAGTGTGAGAAATAATCCCTGTGTAAATGTATTGTAGAAACAGTGTGGTATGAGCAGAGCCTTACAGAATAATTTTTTCTCCCACCCAATGTGTCTGAAATACCATAAACCAAGTGAGATCCTGTTAATTGGTTATCTGAATTTCCTTAATTGATTTTCACTTAACGCACTATATTGATTTTCATGTAATAGGAAATTGACACAGCAGAAAGGCAAGTACTCCAATTTTTTTATTTTTTTTTTTTTAAGTAAGGGTTAAAATATTGGCCAATGTTGACCAATCTCATTTCATTCTTGTTACTTCAAGTTTCAAGTTCAAACTGATCTCCTGAGTTATCACTTAAAATGCTGGAAAAGAATATCAAAGAACACAGGAAAGCAATATTTTTTTCCATTGAGAAGAAATAAATTATGTGTTTTCTGAAGCTGTGTGAGGCCTGGCATGATTAAAGCTAGAGAAAACTGCTAGATTTTCCTATCTTGGTCTGGCCAATTCATCACTGTCCCAAAATAGAACACCCTTCCTGTTTCAGCTGTGGACTTTGTCCAAAACTGACAATGGTGTGTAATGTATTTGTGGAAGATATGTGTGAAAATCCAATAGAGACACTGTAGACATCACCACACTTCAACATCTGTGCTAAGTGAACTCTCCGAAGTCAGTACCTTGAGGTCTAGGTGAGGTAATTAGTTTATAATCTGAGTGGTTCCAAGCTTGGTAACTGTCTGGTAATGTCTTGCATCGACTTTCTATTTCCAGAGCAGGAAAATGGTCTTTAATGTTTCCTTCAGGTAACACCCATCTTGTTTCATTCATATACTTTCCTACCTTCCATAACTTCATGGGGCTGCGTTACTTCCTCTGGTTTATTTTCTTCATTTTTGGATGACCTTTTAGATGTTGGTTTGTTTTCTGGAGGAGTCTTTGGTGAGGGCTTTTCTGCATGTGCTGAAAGAAATAAAATAATCTGTTAATGGGAGCATTTTTCTTCATAGGTGCTTGGTGTCAACTATATAAGAGGAATGATTACAAAATTTCAGTGACCATCTTCCATATAAATCCAAGTTTCTTCCTACCTATATGATTCTTTACAGTATTATTCAAGGGAAAAAGAGCAAAAATAACCTTTGCATCCCAAGTGCTTCATCACAGATGGGTGCAGTGTTTTTCCCAGAAGCTTGAGGTGAGAGCTTCTTTACTAATGGGAATTTTGAGGGGGGAAAAAGACAAATGTTCAGTGGAGTTCTATGTTCTGAAAATTTGTCTGATTTTTTTTTGTCATCTTATTTTTCTGACTGCAGATGACTTGGGATTAACTCTCTATAGTGGATCTCTGAGAGCTATTATTAGATAAGCATTTACTTCAATAATCCACTGAAAATTTAGTTATATTGTAGTTCTTCAGACAGGATAATTCTACACAAATGATCATTTTTTGAAAGACATCTTAAAAGCAATAGTTTCCTTGAAAGAGACGGGAACTAGAAAGCGGTCATGGACCAAAGAAACAAAACAAGGTCTATGTATTAAGCTAACTTCCAGTATGCTGAGTTTTAGGGAAAACCAAAAGTTCGTGTTCAGATTTTCCAACTCTGAAGATTGCATAGGATTTCACTTGCATCCAGTAAGAGCCAGAAAATATTTTTTTATTAATTGTTCGGTCAAATTCACAGAATCACAGAATCATCTAGGTCGGAAAAGACCTTGAAGATCATCTAGTTGTAGATCATCAAATCGTACAACTGGAAGTGAGACCTCTTCTCTCACTAGCATAGCCTTGTAGAAGGATCTTGTTAGTTGTGAAAAAAGCATGATGGAACTCAGGGAACTCAGAGTGTTTCTGATCCCACTAAAGGATCTGGTAGCTGCCATAGGTATGTATAATCAGCTTTTTACAAAAGGAGCAGTATTTTTGTCTCATAAGGTGATGGCCATGGTATCAAAGCATTTACTTTCATAGCAAGTAAGGTTAGGTGTTGGACTATATCCTGAAGCTTTTATTGAGAAAGAGAGAAATTGTAATTGTTGAATAAAATCACTTTGGGAACTGGATTGGCTTTCAGAGGAGTCAGTTGTGACAAGGGGAATGTTTGATCAGTCCTTAACTATGTGTGCATGCGTATTCAGGGGATACAGGGCTTCTGGAGGATAAGAAATGTAAAAATAATCTCTAGATATATGTTGTAAAATTAGCTTCACTGTGCAGAACAAAGTGTTCAGAAGATACATAAACAGCAAAATTATTCCCAGAGGTTTAACAGGTTTCTGAGTTACACATAGCAAAAATACTGAAATACCAAGTAGAGTTATAGGCTGGGTTTGGGGGAATTTTTATTGGGCTTTTTTGATAAAAATCCCAAAGTTAAGTAATTAAAATACTAGAAGAAGCTCTCTAAGATTAGGAGCAATTGGTTAAGTTTTCATTATATTTGAACTGAAGAACAAGTGAAATGGCTAACTTCTGTGAGTGTTCGTGTGTGTTAAACTCAGCAGCAAGAGGAAGGTGTTAAGTAACCTCAAAGGCAACAAATTCATCTCAAGACATTTCCAGGACATTTATCCTCCTCTAGACATCCAGTCAGAAAATGCTGAATACAGAGTCTATTTCAGTATGAATGACTGTGCAACTGAGTAGCAAAAGCAAGCAGTTATACCCGCACCTGGGGACTGGGAGTGGTTGTTAAAGTGAACCAAATGATAATCTGTAACTCATCTTGTTTGTTAAACTGCACGCTTTGAAAGTTGGCTGCCTTGCCAAGTTGTCAGGTCTGTGAAGGCAGTAACTTGGTGCCAAGGCATATTTGACAAGTGTGATCACAGAAATGAATTTAGGTCCGTAAATAGCAGAAAATTTAAGGACATGATGAAATGAAGCATATTCTGTTAGTTTTTTCTGGACTAGAATTCAAGTGCTAGTGTCATTAAAGCCACATGAAGGTGAAACGGCACCTCTAGATCTGTGCCTTTGTGCTTAACTGAAAAAAAACCCACCAGGTTCTGCAGTGAAGTACAGAATAAACAAAAAGTGACTGTGGGTCAGCGTAATTCTTCCCTGAACTGAATGTGTAGCCTAAAGGTTAAATGTGTGTTTTCTTAAAATTCCTTTTGCTGCAGTGTGAATATGTAACCACTTCTAACCAGGCAGATCCTGCAGTTCCTCCCTATTGCCCCGGAGGATGGGTTTGAGGTGGGGAGGATCTAGGACATCTCTCTCTATGTGATGCCTGTGACTGCAAGAACCTGAGCAAGTGGCCTGGAGGCTAAGGTAGTACTATCCCAACGCATGGAGGAAGTACTCTCCATTTTTGCATGGGTAGGGAATTTAAAGGAGTTGGATCTCCCTTCATTACTACTTCTTTTGTAAAATGAACTAGGATTTTTACTGCAATACGTCATTCATTCTCCTCAGCTTCTGTCCTTGAATTCTATTACTGATGTAATTTAAGTAGCATGAGTGGAAGTGCAAATGCAAAGCCTGAGTTTACGCATGTTATTCTGTGTGACAGTTCTGATAGTAAATTAGAGAATGGCTAGTGCCAGAAGCTAATGCAAAATAAAACATTACCCTCAGAATTTGTAGCTCGGTGATGGCTTTCAGTGTATCTACCCGTATGTGTTGATAAAGTGTTCATGCTTGAGAAAATGGCCATTTCATTTTTTTAAATTAGATTTTGTTATTTTCATTTGGTTTCTTTTGTTCAGTACCTAATCTCTTGTGTCCTAAGAAGCCTGCACAGTTAATGTTTTATTATAATACAACACATCTCTTTTTAAATATATCTAGCAAAAATACAGCAATAAAGAAATTTCTTACCCTCTTTACAGTGTTCTGTGTAGTCTGGGCAACATTTGCCATATCTTTCACAGTCTGCATCACAGTCACACTCTCGTCCTCTTTCAAAGGTTTCAAAGCAACGTCCTCTGCAGGAGACTGCTGCGTAAGGCAGAACAAGAGAGTTAGTATTTTTGGCTTGCTCACCTTTAATGCTGGGACCTTTCTACAATGAAATCATTTGCTTAAGCTGATGTAAAGAACAGCTTCATAAAATCAGGTGGTTATTCTGATCTGATCCAGAACTTGTTTGTGTTATTATGGGCTTTGAATCAGGCCATACAACCAGAACTGTACTTTGCCATTGCGGTATATTGAGACCATTTAGAACTTAGAGTAACCTCAATGTTCACCTTAGCTAGGTCCCATCATAGAAGGTTTTAATTTCCCTAATCAAATAGCAGTTATCTCAAGAATAGTATTTAAATTCTCTGCTGGGTTTTCAAAAAGATATTCATCAGAGTACCACTTTGCATCAAAAGTGATGTGTCTACACATCAACATTTCTGAAAAATAATTTGCCTAATTTGTCATGACCAAGTGTATCTGGTGTCTCTGGGCAAATACTGCAATTTATTTGTGACTGAATTAACAAAGTTACATGAGTGACTATCTTTGAAATGTTATCCGAGTCTATTTAATACAGTTCTTAAATTATTGGTACTAAAGGAGTATCTACCATGTTTTGACATGATCAATAACCACCTGCTTTTAATATTTCATTATTGGTAATCTTCTGACAACTTCAGTCACTACAGTACTTCTATTTCATATCAAACAATGACAAAATTGTTCTGGAAAGTGTGTGAACAGCTATTAGAGACTTCAGCAAAACATGCTTGCTGTATTTTTGAAGGACAAAGTTTGACCCCAAACAGCACATTACAATTCAATATTTATTAACATTCAGTAGTACCTTTAATAGGTACATAGTTAACTGGTAAATTGAGGTGATCATGTTAGCCCTGAAGTATTTTTTGAAGATGCCTAGCATCTCACAGATTTGAACCAACAATTAGATGAAGTTACCATATGACTGGTTATTCTTGTCCTGTATCTTTTCTGTACATAAATATCTTTTAAAGTCATCATCCTTGTGGCATGTAGGGCATAAATTAATATTTTACAATTAAATTGCTATCTAGCAAAATTAAGATTATTGTATAGGCAGATTCTGATCATCTTTTGACCAGTGTAGATGTGGAGTTGAAGCCAGTGGATTCATTCCACATGCACAGATGAGAATTGTTTTTATTGTATTACTTTAGGGCAGTGTTTATCATAATCAATGTCTGGAATTTCTCTAATTTAGTCACCATCAATCACACGCTAACTGGTCCACAGTCCTTCATCAGACTGCCTGTATCCTTTAAGGATGTCACCTATTATGCTTGCCTGAATTCAATGATTTATGGTACAACAGGAAACAATTCCTCTAGCCTTAAACATTTTATTAAATATTATATAGATGCCAGAATAACTTTAGAATCTGGCCCACAGTAAATAAATGGTCTACATAATTAAAATGCCTCAGTATGTACTTTCAGTTATGGAAAATGCTGATGTCCCCTTGCAAATCAAAATCAGGATGGGGAAGACTGAAGTGCAAGTATTTCCAGTGTGCATGTCAGAGAGGCAGAATTAGCATTTTCGGGAGTGCTGCATGTGCATTTTAAACAACACTCGACCTGGTTGCTGGATCTAAGAAGTCTTATCTTACAATTGTAGTCTTACTAGAACTACAGACCACAGTTATCTAAATCACTGGTATTTTTGACATTGATGATTCATAAGAAAATTTTTTTAATGCTCAGTAAAACAGTTTGAAATACTTGTATACACTACACAGTTTTGCATATAAATAAAACATAAAAAATAATACTCATCCAACCATCTTTTCCATAAAACTCTGGGCATGGTTCTGATCCAGAGTCAATTTCTACCCATGGAAGGACACCCTCTGACTTTGAATTAGACCACACAGCTCCACACTTCTTAAATTTGAGTTGGGATGTCCCAGAATTTCTTCCTGGAAAACCCTAGATTTGTTTTTACCTTTTTTTTTTTTTTGTAGAAGAGACAAACAGATACAGTACAAATACATTAAGGAGAAGAAAACAAGCAGCAGCTAAACTGTTCCCCCCACTCTTGCCTAGCTCTGGCCTTCTGAAAAGCAAAATCCTTTTCTCAGTCATAACCTGTGGATACACATTTTTCTTTGAATGGATTGCAAGAGGTTATCACTGAGTTTTTGAGGGGGAGAAAAATACATGTATGAGAGGAGAACAAGGATGCAGAGAACTAAGAGAGACATTTAAACATTCAGAGGAGAGACGCTGGTGTGGTAAGAAGCTGGAGCAAATGGGAGGGGAGGTCTTGCTGATAGGAACTGGCTGTGTTTGGAAACTTACCCACTGTGCAGAATTTCTTGAAGTCAGGGCAGCACTCCATGTAGTGTTGACAGTTAAAATCACAGTGGCAGTCATGCTCTCTAGAATACCCTTCCCCACATCTCCCTGTACAGCTTGGTAAATCTAAAATCACACAACACTGGTGTAAATATTGCCAAACCAAAATGGTACATAAGGAAATGCTGAATGGCAAAGTAGTAAGATTTATCTTTTTTTTCTACAGAGTGCCATTTCTTCACTTGGTATTGCAGAAACTGTGGGCCCGGTGCAACCCCTTCTGAAAGTATGTGGATTAGAGGTTTGCTCTGAGCCAGCCTGAGGACCAGCAGCAGCACCCGCTCAGGCTAGAGGGGTGTTCTGCTGAGGCTAATTTAGCCTGTTTCTCCTGAAGATTAATGAAGCTCTGAGGACTGGTTCAGTAGTATGACCACAGCAGTTCTGGCCTCCAAACTGACCGGTGCAGATCTCACTTAGGCATTATATCAGCCAGACACTATACTGTTTTGCAGACTTATTCTTCATCTTATTTCACCCTACGTATGTTTATAGATGAGCATCTGCACAACTGTACCTGACAGACCCATTAAGCCTGTCTGATTTTTACTTTTGGTGATGTTCTTCATAATACCAAATAAAATCAGTTTAGCTTGCAAACTGGTGAGCCCTGTCAATGAATACAGGTCCCCAGAGCCTTTTTTATTGGAAGTTGTCAAAATCTGCCTGCCCTACTTTTCGCTGAGTTCAGAGAGGAATTTGGTATCAAATCTGAGGTTAGAAACATTTGTGTCCTAGTCCTGCAATTTTCTATAAAGTACTTTCTGTTTGTTAATTAGGAGATTACTTACTACCAGACTAACATAAAAGCTCATCCCATAATGGCTTTACTGCTGGACTGCTGTAGAGTTGGCAAATGCTAGATGATAATAAATGGTGCAGAATACAGCTGGTAAGCAAGACGTCAGGAGCTCTGCTTTCAAACTGCAAGCATTCAAGCTCGGCAGTGGTTTATTGCCTTCTACTGCCAGATCAGATATTCACCCTGCAACAACTCCCCTTCCTGTGTGAAATCTCTGCTAACATAATGCACTAACAGTTTCTTCTGGAAAATGAAACATGCAGGACCACCACAAGTGAAGCACCCCTAAATGCAAACAAAGAAGCTGAACAATCAACAAGCTAAAACAGAGTTAAGATAATCAGCTGAAACACTGAGAAACATCAAGAAAATAACAAGAAATAACATGTAACACAACACAACACCAAGACAATTTCTAACAGCACACACTCCACGTGTGTGCGTGTATGAAGGAAGACCATGGGATAACAAATAATTATATATACTGTGATTTTCAGCAGTTAGATATAATGTTTGTTATAACTTCTTTACAAATAGTGAAGGTGGACTAGGGAATAAATGGATAATTTAATGGACCTGAGTTAAAGGGCTCTTAACACAGAAGTTGGAAAGAGAAGCTAGACATGTTCCTTTATGGATATGCATCCAATATATTGTACCATCCTTTCATTATGGGAAGAAAATAAGTCCCAAAAGTAACACTTTTTCATTCATTTATTTGTTTTAAGTTTATGAATTTAAGTTATGAAATTGCTTCTAAGGAAAATGCTGACTCTCATTTCTGTTTGTAAGAGTTTTGATTTTTGCTAAAAATTGTGGGAAGGCTCCCATCAAAAATAGAGGGTGCAGTGTCAGAGTGCAGGTCAAATCTGACATCTGCTGTGCCCTGATGAGCTGCTCAGATTTACAAATGTTATGTCTTCTACTGTCAAGTAGTAATAAATTATTTTCTACCAGCAAGCACTACACAATGTTATCATGATAACAATTTGATAGCCAGGAATTGCCAGGCTGCAAGTTCTTCTGTTCATAAAGGTGCTACTTTAGTTAGAAATCAATTACAGAGCTTTGAGAGTAAATAAAAATCTGTAGTATTAGACAAATAAATGCCAAAATTGGTGTCAGTGGTGGCAATAACAGTGCATTTAATGGCAAAGCACTTAGCATGGTATAGCAATATATATATTCCTTTCCCTGAGCATATTGTATTTAAATATTCCTAAGCAAACTATCTGGATATTCCAATTTTAGATTCTTCCTTGAATTATACTGCAAATCACTTGGGCTAAATATGTCAGTCTGAGGGCTAAAGGATCTGTAGAATATGTCTACAAAAAAAAAAAAAAAAAGAAAAAAAAAAAAAAGTGGGTTCATAGGCATTTTGCATTATATTCATAGCTATATGTTATTCCTCAAAAAAGAGGACCATGCCGCATGAAAAATATGAAAATATTCACTGATGATAAAATTGAATCATAGTGCTTGTCTGAGTAAATATAAAGTTCTAGAACTTAGTATTTTTATGAAGATGCTTTGAAGCATTCTTAATATTTGTCAGATATCCTAGGCACCCTCCCTTCAACTTTGTATGTTACAGTACCTTGAGAAGACACTTCTTGAATCAAGGACAGTGAAAGGATCAGCAGAGATACACAAAGTATGTTCCATATGATCATTACTTTCAGGTACAACATCATGCCTAAAAAGATAATCTCACATTACTATATGCAATTCAATTAATCAGTTCATAATTTAAACAAAAAGATTGCAGTGCATATCTTTATGCATAATACTAGTTTAATAACAACATAAAATAATACTAAAATTATTCAAGGACAAATTGCTAATTTAGAATTACTACATAAAATCTTTCTTGGTTATTAGTTGATTACATGTTAAATTTTGTAGTAAGAATAGGAAAATTCATTATTAACAAATAACTGAAGTAAATTTTTGCAGAATTCTATTATGTGAAAACTACGGTGACAATGTTCTTTTAACAGGATTCACATCAGTACAACAGTTTCTAAGGTTACAAAGTAAAAAAAAAAAAAAAAAAGACTGTCAAAACATTAGTTATTAAGCAATGTAATTTTATAAACCATAATCTATCATTAAAATATTAGTGTTTAAATATGTCAAATGGAAATGTAGGATAAAACTGTATCTTCCTTCAAAAGGAAAACTCATCTGATTTTTCTGTTTCAGTTCATAATTTTCATTTTGAAGAAGAACACTTTGATCAAAATGGTCCTAGTAGAGATAGGTGTGACACTTACCTAACAAAGAATATGTCTGCTCTCAGTGATGTTTCAGATGCCTTATATATTGCTTTGTAACTATGATGGTGTTAACTAATTAGCTTGTTAAACAAAACCACCAATGACAGCTTATGACAGCAAACTTTCCACTTGAGTTGGAAGAGGTCCCAGATGACTAGACTAACACAACATCTGGAAAATACTCCCATTAAGAAAAATGATTACAGAAAAAACTAAATGGAGACTTACTAGTCAAAACAAATTTTGATTACTGAGTGAAATGAACAAATTGTCCTGAAGGCATCTGGAAGTTATTAGATGTTATTGCATAGCAATAAAAAGTCATTATAGGCAAATGCTGACTATATAATCTTTCCTGTCAAATGTAGCTTAGGTGACAGTAGCCTAAAACTATGCAGTATTATCTGGTACTGATAGTGTATCTTCTCCAAAAAGTTTTGAGATCTAATTTAAATAGTCATAAGTAATTCACCAGTTCTACAATTAATATATAGTATTTTTCTCTGAATTGAATGGACATTTTGCAAGGGTATTGGCTAGAAAACAGAGAATTTAGTCGAAAATCTAATTTATTAAATATATTATATGTAAAGCATCAAAAATAAATGAGACCTACATTGTTTCAATGGTCTTTGTGATTATCTGGTTCCAGATTCAGGATACTGGAAAAGGTTATTTGTAATTCTCTCAGAGCTAAACGAGGTTTCCTCTGAAACTTTTAATGGTCCTGACTTTCAGGGTTTGGGAGGGATTTTTTATTCAGAAACTATCCTAAAGGTCAGGAAACACTGACACTTCTGTCTTTCGACATTACTTCAATCCCAAAGTAATTCTATTATCCCAAAATAATAAATACGGTACAATACGCATGAGGAGAGCACTTAAAATGAGCTTGAGTCTTTTAAGGAGAATAATGTAGACACCTTTAAAAGGGAGTGCGTTTATATATGTGCTTAGATTTCTTCCTTGCTTGGTTCAATGATTGTGCAACTTTAGTATTTTTATGCTAGAATTTCTTTCTAATTTCTGTATTATCACAATAGAGGCAGTTTCTTTCAATCTTTCTGCATTGTGGATGCTTCTAATTGCTTTCATATCACAGCCAGGGTTCAATTAATTTATTCCAGTCAACAAAAGAGTGCTTTTTCATTGCTCTAGGTATTCATATAATCTTTGTAAAAGTTTCTAGACCTATTTAGACAAGTGTTAAGTGGAAGCACTTACATAGTGTTGCTTTGCTGTTCAAGGTTCTCTGCCCACTGCCAACCTGCTTATGAAGTAACTGTTACTCTACTTTGTGGAGAAGGGAACCCAAGGCTCTGAGGTTTTATGGAGTTTATTGAAAGTAATACACAGAAGGAAATATATATTACATGTCTTTTAACAGGACTTCAGTGCTGTCTTGAGTTGAGTATAAGCTTGACTGATAAAGAAACTCTCTGATTTGAGAAGAAAGGTACATGTGTAAGGATATTTAAGGCCTAGGGAAGAAGTACTTGTTAGGGTAGCTAAACAGGATCACAATGATGAGATAGGTTTTCTAGAAAAGTACTAAAATTCTCATAGTTTAAATAATTCATAATTTGATCAAGAAAAACATTTAAGACATTACTGAGTATATACTTGCATTGATATCCATGATATGGAGAGGATTTGTTGACTCTTCCATAATTTCACAGCCAGTACAGATGTGAGTCCCAGTTAATACTGTCTAGCTACCTAGCCAGTGAAATAATATATATATAAGGTGGTAAATAAAAAGCAACAGAAGATCAAAATTATTATCATGTTTCTGTTAACATGCCAGTACTCAATTAAGTCGTATAACGACAATTAGGTACATACATGACTTGAAAATATGGGTAGTCATGATTGGTTGCTACATTTATTATGTGCTAACATTTATTATGTGCTAAGGATATGTTCATTTTGGTAGG